GCTTAAAGGGATTGTTAGTCCAGGGAGACTAATCATTACCTTTACAAATTTGCTACTTCCCCTAGGGAAATTGGGCCGGAAAAGTCCTCTGGATTCATTATGATCCCTGAGGTCTTTTCTAAGGATTCCAAGGATTAGGTTTCCACTTAATGATTTTAATTTAATTGTTTGGGCTTAGAGCAATACCAATGATATTTTAAAGGAAATGGAATATCTACCACAGTCCATTTTTATTTTAAGATAAAATGGAGAATAATTTATCAAGACATCAGCATATACCATTATAAACTCAAAATACTCATATTCAAAAAATACTTCCTTCAATTCCAGTTGAAAGACTTAGGCCTGACTGACATAATGGAAATGTATGAATACAAGCTGGCAGCCACGGCACATATGGAGATGACATTGAGAGATGCGCTGGCAGCAGCCGATACCCAGAACAGACAAACCCACCATTCCATGCTTCAGACACGAGCTCAGGTCAGTTCACCAGTTCTTTGGCCTTTCCACCACCATCTCTTTTTCTCTTTCTTCTCCTCATTCTTTTTTCTTTCTTTCTCCTCATTCTCATTTCTTTCTTTCTTCTCATTCTCTTTTCTCTTTCTTTCTCTTCATTCTCTTTTCTCTTTCTTTTCCTATTTCTGTTGTTAATGAGTCCATTTCATTATTATTACTCTTCTTATTATTTTATTTACATTGTTATTTGGTACAATAGAATGACCAACTTCGAAGTCTCCTGCGCACATGGGAACAGAAATTCCAAGCATCTCAGAAGGACAAGACTGAACTGCAAGCAACCATTTCCCAAGTGCAGAACTCAGCTAGACAACTGAGAGAGAATCTGGTGAAGGTATGTAAAAAAAATGTTGGTTTGTGTAACAGAATGTCAAAGAGATGTTTAAAGAGAATATTTCTTGAGACTGTCTCTTTCTTCACCTACTTGTTCCTCATCACCCTTTTCTTCACCACACAGGAAAAGACAGCCATGGACAGGCAAAACTCCAAGCTGCAGAAGGAGATGTCAGCCTTGAGATCAGAGCTTGATGCTCGCGACGAGATGATCCGCAAGTCTCAGAGGATGTTGAGCGATGCGCAGAATGACATCAAGAATCTTCATAAGCAGATTAAGGAGGAACAAGAGAAATTCCACAGTGAGTTGTAATATGAGTATGAAAGCTGTTTTATGACTGAAAATATGCAAGTGACAAGAATACTTTAAAAGCAGCAAGAAAAGGAACCCAAAAAACATCAGTAATTTGTGCAATTATCATGGTTGTTTTTTGGTTTATGAATGAGAGGATATACAGATTAAAGAGGAGTACATGAGGGTTAGTCCCTTTCATCTAGCTAGGGACTATGTATTTGGCAGTTCTGTCAACCAGAAATGTGATTTTTCTGTTGCTTCAGACTGATAAAAGTGCTATGGCATGTGTAGCTCTCATGTAGTGGTAAAGGATTAAAGAACAAGGAGCTGAAAGATGAATTGGAGAAATGGCATAGTTTGTTTTATGTTATGTAATTTTGGGTACCAGTGAGTGTGACAGGAAGAATGTTGGTCTTTTAAGTTCATAGCTTTAAAGCTTTTTATGGTTTATAGCTTTTATTATTATTATTATTATTATTATTATTTAAACAGAGATTTAGAGTCTAAAATTATGTAAATCCCAAAGTAAGTGGGATATCATGTGTATGTACTTTCTTAGTGAAGGAATGCATTTAAAGACCTTTTTTCCCCTGCTTTGCAGAACTGCAAGAGTGCAACCAGAAGCTAGATGATGAACTGAAGAAAGGAAGAAGAGATCATGATGACTTACAGAAGGAGATAGCAAGACTTGAGAAAGCTCAGGGTCAGATGAAGAAAGAGGTATGGCTTAGCTTATGACAAATATTTAAGTTTAGAGCTACATCTCCTTATGGAGGACTTTGTGGTGGTGTGGGGGGGGGGGGGTATAAGTTACTGAGAGTAATGCACAGAGATAGAGGGAATTGGACACTGCCATCTTATAGAGCATTAGAAATAGAGTAAGAAACACCATATATACAGCTGCAGCTGTAGCTGCCTCATATTCACTGCTAATTATGAAAATATCCCCTGCATATCACTGCGCAAAGTCCAAAACACCCTCATACAGCCAGAGTTCTTAATGTCCGTTTTCTATAAATTGGCATGAAGTACTAATAAATAAGGGGAGTAAATAGAAGGTAGGAAAGGGTTGGATGGTTTCTTGGGTTTATGCGCAATACCCTGGTTTTGGGATTTAGTCTCTGGAGGATGAGTCGCTCTCAGTAACAATTCCCCAAAATAGCATTGGTTTCATGATTAAACAAATCTACTAGTTTTACATTCATATTTGGCCAAGAACCTAATTTTGGCTTCTATTTCCAGAATTCAGAGCTAGAGCTGATTATTAGTAGCCATGAGAAGACCCTAACTGAGAAGGAAAGTCAACTCGAAGAAATGACCAGGAAATTCACAGAGTTGAAGCGTATTCAAGACATGATCCACAATATATCTGCTGGAAAACTGGTGTAGATTTTCAGCCGTGTGATGGGGAGTAGGTCAATGTGTAGTTAAGAAAACTGAATGTTAGACTCTCCTGCTGCAAAAATTAAATATATAAAGTAAATAACCTGTGCAAAATATTTTTCTGATGACTGGTATTCATCTGAAAACACTGTTCTTAATACAAATTATGGAGCATTTCTTTTAACCAGTCTTTTTTATAAAGTATATTTTTATTAAGATACTGTTTTGTAAGTAGTAAGTAGTAGATAAATCTTCCATATTCATCTTGATATTCTGTCTCTATTCTTAAAATTAAAGGAATGAAATCCCGGTGTACGTCATTTTTACCTAGAGTTCAGGCTTCCTCAGAATATCTCCACGAAAAAGGACTAGCAACTTGAAAGAGTTGATAAATAAAATAAATACCAAGTTTTGAGAGAACTGGAAGACAACCATAATGCTATCATCCTTTATTGTCATACAATATTTTTTTTTCAGTGCAATTTACCCCATTTACCCATTTACTACTTGAGCATTGCTGATAACTTCCTCTCCTTCGTCTACCACCTGATATACCATACTTTAATTTAAGTGGAAATACCCCTATCTGCCATGGTTATTTTAGTCCCTCCTGAAAATTGTTAGGGAAAATGTTTGTATGAATTTAGTTTAGAAAACGAGTTATCTTGCCGCAAAACCAAGAAGTTTGCGCTGAACATTTCAAAGCAAGCATCATTAAGTCACATGAGGTTTGGTAGCGAGCCGGGAAAACAAGAAAAAGGTGGTAAAAAGGACTACAAAGGCTCTCACTGGTTTTATTTTCAAGAAATACAGAAAATTCACTACATACGCATTGGTGACTTGCCAGCCCTCCACGGGGGATGCTGCCTGGTCAATCCCCACACTTGCCGATTTGTATCCCTCCTGCAGGAACGAGGGTCAAGGAGAGAAGGCGACTTGATGTCCCTACAACCAAAAGAGCGAGAGCGGGTCGAGCTACGCCGATCTATTCTGGCGTTGGTAGTTGCTGTCCCATAGTGTAATGTTCGAGGTAGTCATAACAGTATGCGCTTTTACAAACTGGAAGAGAAGAGAAGATATCACTGCATCACAAACTGTGGGATAAATGTAGGGTTACAAAACCACTTAATGTGCAACTGACCGCAAAGCTCAAACACTGTTCTGAGAGTACAATTTGGTAAGAATGTGAACATATATTCCGTATCCATAAAACTACATAAATGATTAAAAAAAAACGACTAAATGAAGTAAAACAAAGAATAAAAGTCTCTGAACAGCAAAATTGTCTAGTTAGGAATAATGAAATTCATTAATAAATTGAATAATCCACAGAGAAAAACACGTACCGAGGCCTAAGGGAGAACACTGACATAACAGGTCCACAAAACCGACGCCTATGCTGTTAATAACCAGTGGTACAATCATTGCTTTTCCTCAATTCTCTCCCCCATCGACCCTCCAACCTGTCTTCAAAATCCCCTTCCTTTTCCTTTGACTTCTTCATACGCATAAATATCCTCCATTTGATCTAATAGCCATTCTCCCTTTACTCCTTTCCCCTTAATCAACTTTTACCTGATTTTGTATCTCCCGCTCTCTCTACACTTCACTACCATGATATCATATAAAGCTGTTTAACCTCTCTTTAACATCGTACAAACCTTTCCCCTAATCGCTAACTCATTTCTACCCTTTTCGTCGCAAAACTTAATTATGACCTTAGATGATAGCACATTTATTCTAACCATTATCCATTAATGATCCGTTTAAATCACAACCAGACCTCTCCGTACTTGCCAATCGCATAGCATTCTCTACTAGTATACAAAACAATTATCAAAGCAGGGAACCATAAAATGCAGCGTAGGAAAGTTTCAGATGAGGGTTTGGGGCTGGAGTTACTTCGCGTCGTCCATGTCATCCTGACTTCACTTGGGCTCGAGGCTGTCACCAGGGTCTTCATAATGGAAGAGGTATTAGGAGAAGTGTCGCTCCTGTAAATGGAATAGGTTAGGGATAGGTTCCGGGTTAGATCAGGTTTAGCATATGTTCGATTACGTTCGGTTATGTTTAGGGTTGGGTTAGGTTTTTGGTTGGGTTGGGTTAAGTCAGATTTAGGGTTAGGGTAGGGTTGGTTGGGTTAGGTTTAGGGTAGGTTTAGGGAACGGTTAGGTTAGTTTTAAGGCAGGGTTGGATTGAGTTACGTTAGGTTAGGCTTAGGGTTGGGTCGGGTTAGGTTAGGTTTGGTTTTCGGCTAGGAATAGGTTAGGTTAGCGAGGAGTAGGTTAGGTTAGATTAAGTTTAGGAGCGAGGAGTGGAAGGGAGAAAGAAGAGGTTAGGTTAGATTAAGTTTAGGTTAGAGAGAGAGGGAGGGAGAAAGGTTAGGTTAACCTCCAGAAAACATTCATCCTAACATCTACTTCATCTCCATCCCCATAACTTTCATCTATTAACTCCTTAGTTGTTACTATACTCCAACCTTATTGTCCACGCTTCTGTAGTAATACCTTTCTCAACACTACTTCCTCTTCCACATACGCCGTCCTTATACTATCCCCACCTCTAAACATCTTTCGAATACTATTTAGTCCCACCAAATAGGATTGATTTTTCATGATCCCCTCTACAGCCCCCTTGCTCTGACAATTTCCTCTTCCAGCAATGTCTCCAAAAATAAGTAAGCGTTAGTTCCCACCTTGTCGCAATTGCATCTGACTCCCAAGCTGAAGCATTATCAATCCTGACTAATATCATTGGCAAATCCATTGCTGACCAGCCTTATCCATTTCTCAATACTTGTACCGGAACTGTCTCCATCTCATCGACAAACTGCCACATCTTCAAAGATTGGTCCGATTGTAAAGAAGACTTACTCGCCTGCCTGCAAGTCCTCCACTGGTTTATATTGGAGAGTCCCTATCCGCGCGGCCATGTCAACCTATCCCCGTCCATTGGCGTCTAGGCCACTCTGCCAACACTGATGCTCCACGGCCCGATGCCCTCTCTGCCCAACCTAATCATGATCAATCACACTGGTTTCACTTTATGCGAAGCCAGACAGGAAGCACGTCGACGAGGTTTTTCTCTTCCTCCCAAGATGTTTCTATGCCAATCCTCCTATATCTATTCTTCTTCCATCTTAAGCTTCCACTTCTACCCCGTTCCTTTCTTTTTTTTCAAATCTTAATCCAGGCACCCCACACTGCCCTGACACCTACCCCTCTCCCTCCTCGCTCTACCCGTAGGTTCCACCCCAGCTTCTATCATACCCTCCCCTCCACCTACCTCTTCCTCTACCATTTGGATACCTATCTCCTCTTCTCTTCAATGGGTTTCTCAGACCTCCACAACTAAAATCCTTTCATGGGAGATTCTGAAGGCACGCCTCCCTCTGACGACTAAAGAAACCTCACTTGCGGACTCTTGAATGCACGATCCTCACTAGGGGACTTCGAAGGCACACCTCCCTCTGACGATCACTAGGGGACTTCGAAGGCACACCTCCCTCTGACGACGGCAGGAACTTCACCAGGAGACTATGAAGGCATGGTTCTCTCCAACGACGACAGGAACCTCTCCAGGGGACTGAAGGCACACCTTCCTCTGACGACCGCAGGAACCTCTCCAGGGGACTCTAAAGGCATGACTTCCTCTGACGATGGCAGGATCCTCTTCAGGGGACACTGTAGACACGCCTCCCTCTGACAATGGCAGTAACTTCTCCAGGGGCGTGTGAAGGCACCGCCCTATCTGATGACGGCAGGAACCTCTTCAGGAGCTTGTGAAGGCACGCCTTCCCTCTGACGACGCAGGAACCTCTCCAGGGGCGTCTGAAGGCACGCCTCCCTCTGACGACGGCAGGAACCTCTCCAGGGGCGTCTGAAGGCACGCCTCCCTCTGACGACGGCAGGAACCTCTCCAGGGGCGTCTGAAGGCACGCCTCCCTCTGACGACGGCAGGAACCTCTCCAGGGGCGTCTGAAGGCACGCCTCCCTCTGACGACGACAGGACCTCTCCAGGGGCGTCTGAAGGCACGCCTCCCTCTGACGACGACAGGGGGGCGTCTGAAGGCACGCCTCCCTCTGACGACGGCAGGAACCTCTCCAGGGGCGTCTGAAAACGGCAGGCTCCACTGAAGGCACGCTCCCTCTGACGACGGCAGGAACCTCTCCAGGGCGTCTGAAGGCACGCCTCCCTCTGACGACGGCAGGAACCTCTCCAGGGGCGTCTGAAGGCACGCCTCCCTCTGACGACGGCAGGAACCTCTCCAGGGCGTCTGAAGGCACGCCTCCCTCTGACGACGGCAGGAACCTCTCCAGGGGCGTCTGAAGGCACGCCTCCCTCTGACGACGGCAGGAACTTCTCCAGGGGCGTATGAATACACGACTCCCTCTGACGACGGGAGGACCCTTACCAGGGACGTCTGAAGGCATACCTTCCTCTGAAGACGGCAGAAATCTCTCCAGGGGACTCTGAAGGCACAGTTAATGTTACAGAGTTAGAAAGAAATGGACACCGACATCTTATAGAACATAAGAAATATATTCTTAAACAGCACAGTGGTAATTATTACCGAGAGCGGCGCACCCTTCAGAGACTAAGCCCACAACCATGACATCAAGCGAACCCAAAACGCTAACCTATCCTTTTCTAACTTCTATCCCCTAGACAGGGGACAAGCCTCCCTGTATCCCCCATTTATTAGCACTTTGTGCCAACGTAAAGAAAACGGACATTAAGAACTCAAGTTGTATAAGGGTGTGATGGACTGTAAGTGCGGTGCTATGCATCGAACATTTTCGTCATTCAAATATGAGGCCGCTGCAACCTAAACTGTTTTTCTTTTCTCTATTTCTTACGCTCTGTAAGAGGGTGATGACCATTTCTGCGTTTTTCTCTCGGTAACCTATACCCAACACAGCTACAGTTGCAGCGACCTCATATTTACCGCGAAATAACGAAATTTTCGCCGCAGATCACCGTTAACAGACTACGTCCACAACTGTGACAAAACACTCGCACAGCCAGAGTTCTTATGTCTGTTTTCTATGGGTTGGCACGACCCCCCCCCCATTGTCTAGGGAAGGGGTGGCCAACTAGTCGATCACAAGCCTGGTTTAATTCGATCACACTTCTGTACCTGTTAATAATTCGTCCCTCAGAAGTTCTCAAACAAATAGCTGCAATAGCATATCCAAGTACTCATGA